TGCTATCAAATTTATTGAAAATGAAATATGTCATTTATAAAAGTATTCACACCCCTGAGTCAATACATGTTAGAATCACCTTTGACAGTGATTACAGCTGTGAGTCTTTCTGGGTAAGTCTCTTAGAGCTTTGCACACCTGGGTTGTACAGTATTTGCACATTTTTCAAGCTCTGTCAAGTCGGTTGTTGATCATTGCTAGACAGCCATTTTTTGGGGTATGACGCTACAAGCTTGGCACACCTGTATTTGGGGAGTTTCTCCCATTCTCTGCAGATCCTCTCAAGCTCTTTCAGGTTGGATGGGGTGCATTGCTGCACAGCCATTTTCAGGTCTCTCCAGAGATGTTCGATCGGGTTCAAGTCCGGGCTCTGGCTGGGCCACTCAAGGACATTCAGAGACTTGTCCCGAAGCCACTCCTGCGTTGTCTTTGCTCTGTGCTTAGGGTCGTTGGTGAAGGTGAACCTTCGCCCCAGTCTGAGGTTGTGAGAGCTTTGGAGCAGGTTTTCATCAAGGATCTCTCTGTACTTTGCTCCGTTCATCTTTTCTGTGATCCTGACTAGTCTCCCAGTCCCTGCCGCTGAAAAACAACCCCACAGCATGATGCTGCCACCACCATGCTTCACCGTAGGGATGGTGCCAGGTTTCCTCTAGACGTGACGCTTGGCATTTAGGCCAAAGAGTTCATTCTTTCTTTCATCAGACCAGAGAATCTAGTTTTCTCATAGTCTGAGTCCTTTAGGTGCCTTTTGGCAAACTCCAAGTGGGCTGTCATGTGCCTTTTACTGAGGAGTGGCATCCGTCTGGCCACTCTACCAAAAAGGCCTGATTGGTGGAGTGCTGCAGAGATTAGTGTCCGGCCTGGAGCGTGAAGTCATGAGCTCTGCTGGTCGGCTACTGTGTTAGCAACCTATGTACATTACGATAGCCAGAATGGCCAAACCCCCCAAAAATTGGGCTCTAAAATGTGTTCATTATGATCAAGTTCAATCCCTACAGTGAATTATTTTAAAGTTCGCTACAAATCAAGATATTTAATTAGATAGTGATCCATTTTGACTACTTAAATTGTCGTCACAGGACCACGCAGACCAATCACGGGCCGGCAGGCTACGAGGAGGCTTGCGCCCTTATGCACGCTCTTTGCACGTACACCTAAGGGGGTGTGGTGTGCTATCCAGATGGGAGTGCGGTGTCAACGAGCCTGTCATGTGGAGATGGAGGGGCTGAACCAATGTGGGCTGACGCGGTTTTAATGTCTATGTGATGACAGAGGATGATAGAGCAGAGAACAGAAAATGGAGATGGAGGAATGCGCTCACACTGTTTGAAATATCAATTTAGTATGCAATTATAATTGAATACATTTTGAATTCAATTTATTTATGATGATAATAATGCTGTTGCACAAATCATAAAGATAGTCTACAATCATATAAAAATACAGAATCGAGAAAATCATTGTGTGTGTGTATACACACACACACACACACACACACACACACACAGTTAAAGTCGGAAGCTTACATACACCTTAGCCAAATACATTTAAACTCAGTTTTTCACAATTCCTGACATTTAATCCTAATAAAAATTCCCTGTCTTAGGTCAGCTAGGATCACCACTTTATTTTAAGAATGTGAAATGTCAAAATAATAGTAGAGAGTGATTTATTTCAGCTTCCCAGTGGGTCAGAAGTTTACATACACTCAATTAGTATTTGGTAGCATTGCCTTTAAATTGTTTAATTTGGGTCAAGCGTTTCGGGTAGCCTTCCACAAGCTTCCCACAATAAGTTGGGTGAATGTTGGCCCATTCCTCCTGACAGAGCTGGTGTAACTGAGTCAGGTTTGTAGGCCTCCTTGCTCGCACATGCCTTTTCAGTTCTGCCCACACATTTTCTATAGGATTGAGGTCAGGGCTTTGTGATGGCCACTCCAATACCTTGACTTTGTTGTCCTTAAGCCATTTTGCCACAACTTTGGAAGTATGCTTGGGGTCATTGTCCATTTGGAAGACTCATTTGTGACCAAGCTTTAACTGACTGATGTCTTGAGATGTTGCTTCAATATATCCACATCATTTTCCATCCTCATGATGCCATCTATTTTGTGAAGTGCACCAGTCCCTGCTGCAGCAACTTGCCAAAACTATAGTTTGTTAACAAGAAATTTGTGGAGTGGTTGAAAAACAAGTTTTAATGACTCCAACCTAAGTTTATGTAAACTTCCGTCTTCAACTGTATGTATGTATAGTGAGGGAAAAAAGTATTTGATCCCCTGCTGATTTTGTAAGTTTGCCAACTGACAAAAAAATGACCAGTCTATAATTTTAATGATAGGTTTATTTGAACAGTGAGAGACAGAATAACAACAAAAACATCCAGAAAAACGCATGTCAAAAATGTTTAAATTGATTTGCATTTTAATGAGGGAAATAAGTATTTGACCCCCTCTCAATCAGAAAGATTTCTGGCTCCCAGCTGTCTTTTATACAGGTAACGAGCTGAGATTAGGAGCACACTCTTAAAGGGAGTGCTCCTAATCTCAGCTTGTTACCTGTATAAAAGACAACTGTCCACAGAAGCAATCAATCAATCAGATTCCAAACTCTCCACCATGGCCAAGACCAAAGAGCTCTCCAAGGATGTCAGGGACAAGATTGTAGACCTACACAAGGCTGGAATGGGCTACAAGACCATCGCCAAGCAGCTTGGTGAGAAGGTGACAACAGTTGGTGCGATTATTCGCAAATGGAAGAAACACAAAAGAACTGTCAATCTCCCTCCGTCTGGGGCTCCATGCAAGATCTCACCTCATGGAGTAGCAATGATCATGAGAACGGTGAGGAATCAGCCCAGAACTACACGGGAGGATCTTGTCAATGATCTCAAGGCAGCTGGGACCATAGTCACCAAGAAAACAATTGGTAACACACTATGCCGTGAAGGACTGAAATCCTGCAGCGCCTGCAAGGTCCCCCTGCTCAAGAAAGCACATATACAGGGCCGTCCTGAAGTTTGCCAATGAACATCTGAATGATTCAGAGGAGAACTGGGTGGAAGTGTTGTGGTCAGATGAGACCAAAATGGAGCTCTTTGGCATCAACTCAACTCGCCGTGTTTGGAGGAGGAGGAATGCTGCCTATTGACCCCAAGAATACCATTTCCACCGTCAAACATGGAGGTGGAAACATTATGCTTTGGGGGTGTTTTTCTGCTAAGGGGACAGGACAACTTCACCGCATCAAAGGGACGATGGACGGGGCCATGTACCGTCAAATCTTGGGTGAGAACCTCCTTCCCTCAGCCAGGGCATTGAAAATGGGTTGTGGATGGGTATTCCAGCATGACAATGACCCAAAACACACGGCCAAGGCAACAAAGGAGTGACTCAAGAAGAAGCACATTAAGGTCATGGAGTGCCAAGACCTTTGGGAAAATACTCTGTGGACTGACGAGACAAAAGTTGAACTTTTTGGAAGGTGTGTGTCCCATTTACATCTGGCCTAAAAGTAACATCACATTTCATAAAAATAACATCATACCAACAGTAAAATATGGTGGGGGTAGTGTGATGGTCTGGGCCTGTTTTGCTGGTTCAGGACCTGGAAGACTTGCTGTGATAAATGGAACCATGAATTCTGCTGTCTACCAAAAAATCCTTAAGGAGAATGTCCGGCCATCTCTTCGTGACCTCAAGCTGAAGCGAACTTGGGTTCTGCAGCAGGACAATGATCCAAAACACACCATCAAGTCCACCTCTGAATGGCTGAAGAAAAACTAAATGAAGACTTTGGAGTGGCCTAGTCAAAGTCCTGACCGGAATCCTATTGAGATGCTGTGACATGACCTTAAAAAGGCAGTTCATGCTCTCAAACCCTCCAATGTGGCTGAATTACAACAATTCTGCAAAGATGAGTGGGCCAAAATTCCTCCACAGCGCTGTAAAAGACTCATTGCAAGTTATCGCAAACGCTTGATTGCAGTTGTTGCTGCTAAGGGTGGCCCAACCAGTTATTAGGTTGTAGGGGGCAATCACTTTTTCACACAGGGCCATGTAGGTTTGGATTTTGTTTTCCCTTAATAATAACAACCTTCATTTCAAAACTGCATTTTGTGTTTACTTGTGTTATCTTTGACTAATATTTAAATTAGTTTGATGATCTGAAACATTTAAGTGTGACAAACATTTACATTTACGTCATTTAGCAGACGCTCTTATCCAGAGCGACTTACAAATAGCATGCAAACAAATAAGAAGTCAGGAAGGGGGCAAACACTTTTTCACACCACTGTATATATATATATGTGTGTATGTATGTGTGTCAACTTTTTTTCTCATAGGGTAATTGAATCCAGCCAAACTGAGTTGTGATGGTAGCCCTTTACTTGTTATTTTCAGGTGTAAGGATCATGGTCATATGATATCTAGACTATATTGATAGGGTACTCTTAACTTTGCGCTAATTTGAGTTAGATTTTATAAAGAGCTTCACAATGCCGGCATGTTCTGTATTTAACTGTACTAATCGTCACGCGAAAGAGTCTCATCTTAATTTTTTCAGGTAAGTCAGTTGCAATTCTGATGATCATTCTTCATATTAACTTTCCGTTTTTGATTTGCAATGTTGACCTGGCAATTTTCTAGGTAACGCTGAGTTTTCAAATTAACCTTGTGCCGCATAGGTTTAACAGTAGGCTAGCATCTGGTTCATAGATATTAAAACCAGGTTGACTTTCTCAGGCAGGATGAAAACGACTTTCACCATGATCCTTAGCAAAAAATTGTTGGTGCCATTCAGCCCTATTCATTAATATGGCGTGCTTCAAATTCAAATACTTACGGCTTCATGTGCCATCTGGAGTTTTACATAGGAATACATGGATGATGTCAGCGCTATCACTATCTACTGGTTTTAATGTCTATGGGATGAGCTGAGATATCCATACCATGCTGAGAGCCCGTACTGTAGCATTCAATGTCGGCAGAAAGAACCCTGATGACTCGGTAGCGCGCAAAGTGTACAAGGCAAGGAGGTACGAGCTCCGCAAATCCATTGGGGACGCAAATAGACAATACAGACTCAAACTTGAGTTTATGTTCGACAACTGACGTGCGCTGCATGTGGCAAGGACTACAAGACCATCATGGACAACAAAGGCAAATACAGCTGTGTGGTGCCCACCGACACCTCCCTCCCAGATGAGCTCAACACATTCTATGCTCGATTCGAGGCAGATGATACCGAGCCATCCTGGTCGTCTGCTGCTCCGGACCAGGTGCTTTCGCTTTCCGAAGCTGACGTGTGGAAAACTCTTGAGTGAATACGTACAAAGCCGCTGGCCCAGATGGCATCCCTGACCACGTCCTCAGTGTGTGTGCTGACCAGCTTGCTGGCGTCTTCTCTGACATCTTCAACCCTTCCCTGTCCCAGGCTGTAGTCCACACCTGCTTCAAGGAAACCACCGTAGTCCCAGTGCCCAAGAAAAACAAGATGACATGCCCAAATGACTGTTGCCCCTTCCCACTCACCCCGGTCATCACGAAGTGCTTTGAGAGGCTGGTCATGGCCCACATCAAGTCCAGCATGCCAGGCAAACTGGACCTACTCCAATTTGCCTAGCGCTCCAACAGATCCATGGAAGATGCCATTTCCCATCATTATTCATACTGTCGTAACACATCTGGACAAGAGGAACACCTATGTGAGAATGCTGTTCATTGACTACTGTTCAGCATCCAACACTGTTGTTCCGTCCGAGCTTGACACCAAGCTCAGAACCCTGGGTCTGGACATCGCCCTCTACAACTGGAACCTGGACTTCCTGACGGGCAGACCACAGGCTGTGAGGATTCGCAACAACACCACCTCCTCACTGACTCTTAACACAGGGGGCCCCCCCAGTGGTGTCCTCAGCCCTCTGATGTACACCTTGTTCACCCACGAGTGCGTGGCTTTGTACAACAACTCAATCATCAAGTTTGCTGACGACAACATGGTTGTAGGCCTATTAACCAACAACGACAAGTCAGCCTATCGGGAGGAGGTAAGTGAACTGGAATCGCTCAACATCAGCAAAACAAAGGAGCTGATTGTTGACTTCAGGAAACAGAGGAGGGAGCATGCCCCAATCCACATCAATGAGACTGCAGTAGAGAATCAGCTGTTTTGAAATTCCTCAGTGTCAATATCACCGAGGACATGTACCAACCAGACCACCACTCTTATCAAGAGGGCACAGCGGCATCTCTACTTCCTAAAGCGGCTGAAGAAATACGGCATGCCACCCCGAGTCCTCTCCAAATACTACCACTGCACCATCGAGCGTCCTGACCGGTTGCATCACGGCCTGGTACGGGAATTGCTCCGTATATGACCGCAAGGCCCACCAGTGGGTGGTGAAGATGGCCTAGTACATCACTGGGACCGTGCTCCCACCCATCCAGGACATCTACTCGAAGCGGTGCCTGAGGAAGGCCCGCAGCATCATCAAGAGCCATACACACCCCAGCCACAAGCTGTTCTCTTCCCCGGACGGTATCGGAGCATGAGGTCTGATACCAACAGGCTCAGAGACAGTTTCTGTCTACAAGCCATCAGACTACTGAACACTTGAGCTGGACGGAGCACCTGCTCCGATTCTCCGCACCTTAGCACACATGCACTCACTTCACGCGCACACCCACACAGACATATACACACACACACACATACATACATACATTCATGCTACACACACATCACAACTGCTGCTACCAGACTCTTATTATGATTGCTAAATACTGCACAGTTTAAACACTTGCCCCCCAATCTCCCCTTCCCCTAAAACACGTGTAAATAAATTGTTCCTTCCTGTATCACACTTATGCTAAAAAATGTATTCTACTGAGCCATTTACTTTCTGTTCGTATTCTTATCTTTTATTATTGTTGTTGCATTGTCGAGGAGGAACCTGCAAGTAAGCATTTCATTGGAACACCTTGTGTATCCTGTACATACGACTAATAACATTTAGAAACTTTCTTTCTCCACCGTACAGGCAGTTAAAGAAGCTCAGTGAAGACAGTTTAACCAAGCAGCCAGAGGAGGTCTTTGATGTGCTAGAGAAACTTGGCGAAGGGTGAGTCCTGGACGTGTTTTGTTATGTACAGTTGGCGCTAGAACGCCATGTCGTTTCAGTTCTGAGAAGCTATCCCTCTCTGACTTACATTAGACTCAAGGAAGAAGAGCACCATAACGCCACGGCGTAAGTGTCACTCATGCAGTCAGCCCCTCTCTCTCCACCCGTCATGCTTCCTCATTTCCTGTTACTCAATTTTCTGCCAGAGTGTCTGTGATTAACATGCCCTCTTGTGTTGCGTCATGACTGACAGCTGATGGGTGAAGTTCTGCTGCGCTAGTCACTGTATTGCTCCTTATTGATATGCCTATTTCAAGAACGTATCAAATGAACCTACTGTGCTAGAATAAGACTACAGTCATTCATCTATTTACATCTCAAACAAACCACTTACCATGTAGGCCCTATGACCACACAGCCTTCTCACTGTGAACCGAAGGTATCCTATTTGAGGAGCGTGTCACGAGTTGACTCATTTAGTAGTAGCCTAGATTCTTTTAAAAAATGTAAAAAGTATTCACACCTGTTTTCTATGCAGGTCCTATGGCTGCGTCTTTAAGGCCAACTATAAAGAGACGGGGGAGATTGTGGCCATCAAGCAGGTCCCTGTGGAGTCCGACCTGCAGGAGATCATCAAAGAGATCTCCATTATGCAGCAGTGTAACAGGTGAGGCCCCCTCCCCTCGACCTCCTCTGGTTGCCTGACTTCCCTCTGTGTCGCCAGATCGAATAATCTCTTGCTGTGTGGTAACATTATTTGTGACCTGAAGAAGAGTACATCCTAAATATATGATTAGTCTGATATAGACAACAGGGTACCAGAACTAGGCTAAATACCCATAAGGCTCTTTTGCGTCCTCAGTCCCCATGTTGTGAGGTACTACGGCAGTTATTTTAAGAACAGTGACCTGTGGATCGTGATGGAGTACTGCGCAGCTGGCTCGGTCTCTGACATCATTCGCCTGCGCAACAAAACGGTAACATGTCTAATCTGACTGAATATTAAGGGAGATATTTTCTTCTTCTAAATGCTGTGTGTGTAACACCTTCTTACCCAAACAACTTGTAATGGGATACAGTCAGGTCCAAAATGGCCACCCTTGATAAAGATGAGCAAAACAGACTGTATAAAATAGATAATACAAATACTGAGGTATATTGTATGCTCCAATTTTTTAAACAATTATTTTATACTAATACAATTGCTCAGAGAACGAGATGTTGCTTAATAAGTACGTTCTTCCCCTCAAAGATAGGGGTCAAAATTATTATCCTTGCGAGGATAACGGCACAGAGCCGTTTTCTAAAATGTTTTATGAGATTGGAGAACACATTGGGAGGGATCTTATACCATTCCTCCTTACAGAATCTTTCCAGAGCCTTTATATCCGTAGTCTGCGCTTATGAACTGCCCTCTTCAATTCAAACAACAGGTTTTCAATTGGGTTTATGTCCGGTGACTGAGATGGCCATTGCAAAATTTAGATTTTATGTTCAATTAACAATTTCTTTGTGGATTTTGATGTGTGCTTGGGGTTATCGTCTTGCTGAAATATCCACTTGCGGCCAAGTTTCAACCTCCTGGCAGTGGCAACCAGGTTTTTGGCTAAAATGTCCTGGTACTGGGTTAAGTTCATGATGCTGTTGGCCTTAACAAGGGCCCCAGGACCAGTGGAAGTAAAATATCCCCATTACATCAAAGATCCACCACCATATTCTATAGTAGGTATGGGGTTATTTTCTGCATATGCATCTCTTTCTACGCAATACCCACCACTGGTGTTCGTGGCCAAAGAGCTCTATTTTCATGTCATCTGACCATAGCACAGGTTCCAATCCCAAGTGCCAATGCCGTTTACAAAACTCCAGGAGTTAACATTTGTTGGATGACATGAAAATTGAGCTCTTTGGCCACGAACACCAGTGGTGGATTTTGTGTAAAAAGAAAGATGCATATGCGGAAAATAACCCTGCTGTAAAATATAGTGGTGGATCTTTGATGTTATGGGGCTATTTAGCTTCCACTGGTCCTGGGGCCCTTGTTAAGGTCAACCACATCATGAACTTTTAGTATTTATTTTGTATACAATATAGCTCTGTTTCTGTATGATTTTATTTTATACAGTCTTTTTTAGGGTGCCAATCATTTTGGATCAGACTATTTTGAAACGTTCATAAGAATGTGGTCATTATTTATACAGATTTAAAGTCAACATTACAGAAATGTATTAATTGTTTTGGATTCATTTCTGCTTGCCGTACATTTTAACATGGTTATTTTGTGTGCTGAGTGTATGCAATCAGTAGTGGAAATCATCGCCCTAAAAGAAGTAGAATTATGCTTACAGTGTCTCTTACCTCACGTGTCTGTTGTAGCTAACAGAGGATGAGATCGCGACCATAGTGCAGTCCACACTGAAGGGACTGGAGTACCTGCACTTTATGAGAAAGATCCACAGAGACATCAAGGCAGGGAACATCCTGCTCAACGCAGAGGGCCAGGCCAAGCTGGCTGACTTTGGGGTGGCGGGACAGCTGACAGTAAGGAATTCACCAGCTGACAGCTGGTGCAGATCATGGGCTGCATTTACACAGGCAGCCCAATTCGGATCTTTTGTTTTGACCAATCACATCAGATCTTTTCGCATCAGATCTTTTTCAGAACTGAACTGATTGGTTAAAAGAGCAATTAGTGAAAAAAAGATCAAAATTGGACTGCCTGTCTAAACGCAGCCATTAAGTTAATGAGATGAACGTTTGATCTAGGACAGGGGTGTCAAACTCAATTCCTGGAGGGCTGAGTGTCCGCGGGTTTATGCTCCTCCCTTGTACTTGATTGATCAAGTAAGGTCATTAATTAGTTAGGAACTCCCTTCACCTGGTTGTCTAGGTCTTAATTGGACATTAATTAAAAGAAAATAACAAAAACCAGCAGACACACAGCTCTCCAGGAATTATGTTTGACTCCTCTGATCTAGGATGTTGATTTAACTCTTTGGTTTGATTGATCTGAACTATAAAATTACACCTGCAACATTGACTGTTGGTGTCTCCCAAGATTCACTATGTCAAATCTTGGGGAGAGGTTCAGAAACAAGAGGCATCCGCTCAACCAATGGAAATAGTTTTACATTTATTCGTCATCTTGCTTGAACGGGCTGAAAACTGGCGAGTCTTGTCGAGTAGTCTCATCAGTTGATGCCTTTTTGATCTGGACTGGGCCCAACCAAAATATGCTACTCTTCAACCAACTTTTTTTATTTACCTTTTAAAATAGGAGTTTTGGCCATCTGGGCCATACTGTAGTCCCTTTTTAACATCCTGCATTGTAGTTAATATAGCTTAATTGTTTGTGAGATAGAAATAAAATCATATTCAAGCAATCCAGGACTAACCAGGATGCCATAAGGTGTATATTTTTCTAATGTTCTCTATATATCATGTACCAATATCATCCGTATGTCATGTCTACTACTTGTCTGTTTCTCAGGATACAATGGCCAAGCGGAACACAGTGATTGGCACTCCTTTCTGGATGGCCCCCGAGGTGATCCAGGAGATTGGGTATAACTGTGTGGCAGACATCTGGTCCCTGGGCATCACAGCCATAGAGATGGCAGAGGGAAAGCCTCCCTATGCAGACATCCACCCTATGAGGGTGAGTCTATTGTTAATGTGTACAGATCTGTTTTTGTTATTGATGGAACTTGTCAAACACTCTGTCTCAGGGTTGAACCTCTCTAAAATCAATCTGAGTATAGTGGCAAAAACAGAGAGAACTTGAATTGTGATTTTGTGTTATTAAATTGTTTCTGTTCTGTCTGTTACATTGCTTTGTCATAGGCCATATTTATGATTCCTACCAATCCTCCACCGACGTTCCGAAACCCAGACTTGTGGTCAGAGCCGTTCCAAGACTTTCTCACCCAGTGCCTGGTGAAGAACCCAGAGAACCGAGCCACTGCCACACAGCTTTTACAGGTAGAAGACCCCATCTCACCGACACTGTCTGCATCTCAAATGCCTCCCTTCTCCCTAAATAGTGCACTACTTTTGACAGCCAAAAGTAGTGCACTGTGTAGGGAATAGGGTGCCAGATGGGACCTTATTCAGCCTAGTACTTCTGTTTCTCTCCCCTCTCTTCCTCTTTTTGTCTCTTTCGGTCTGTTCATTTCCTATTTGTCCTTCCATCATTTCTCTCTGGATTACATTTTCCTCTTGCAAAGAAACACGTTGCATGAGCAAACTAACCATTAATATTTTCGATGGGATAGCACATTATCCGAGGCCATTTCCGAGTAAAACTGAAACTTGCGGTTGCATTGCACTGCTTTAAACTCTGGTTAAAAAGATTTATAAACGCCTTTATTTTTAAGGCAATTTCAAATAAACATTTGCAGTAAATGCTGTGGATGTCGGCTCAATTGTGTTTTTGTGTGTGTTTGTACGTTGTGTGTTTGTCCTCCGGCAGAATACGTTCATTAAGACTGCTAAGCCCAGCAGCATCCTCAGAGCTCTGATCACAGATGCCATGGAAATCAAACTGAAGAATGTGGAGGCCGAGCAGAGAGAACAGGACCAAGAGGACGAAGACAACTCGGTACACACACACACACACACACAGACCCACACGCACACACACCCCACTAAAGCTTAGGCCTAATTCATAGTTGGGAGCTGCAGGGCCGCGACAGTCCGCCGGCCCATTTATCAGCTATTTATTAGCCTCATGGAATTGTTTTTTTTATCAACAAGCTTGGCTACGTCACAATGGACAGCTTGACCCTACCACTTTATTCTGTATGCTGACTGATGGGGCTGGGGAAATGTAACCACTCTCAAACACTGTAGACCTATTTATAGACGGGGCAATAGATGCTGGACTGACAATCCAAGAGATCGACATACATCATATTTTTAAACACATTTTGGAGCTTTACATTGTTTACAAATGACACCAAAAACATAAACAATGGAGTAATACTTGTATTTATATTTGGGATTAAGCTCATAAAGCATGTATAATTTATATTATTCAGTAACAAATGCAATTAAATATCATTAGGCAGGTTTCCACTGACTCAGGTTTATTTGACAAAAGCAATGTCGCAACCAAAAAACATTGCGACGTGTAATGGAAACGGCAGCTATAGACCGTTATAATGGCATGCGAGCTTGCATTCTAAATAATTGTAGGACCCCTGACGACTTCCTCTCCGAAAACGTGTTGTCCTTATACTAGCCTGCTAGGCTTCCAACCAAACAAGTAAAATGAATCAGACCAACTTTGGTAGTTTCTGTTCTGTTGTGGTGTGAGGTCAGGCAAAAATGCCATATTCAAAGATTCAAATGTTCAGATTTCCAAAAAACGAGGAAAGACGACGAGCTTGGGTCACTGCAGTCCAAAGGGAGGCTTGGGAGCCCAAAAATCATACCAGGGTCTGCAGCACTCACTTAATTTCAGGTAAACTCACTAGTACACAATTCATTTAAAATCTACCTAGCTTGTAAGACCAGCGTTATTAGCTAAGTCTGAAATACGACAAATCTATTAGACACAGTTAGCTACAGACCACCATAATCCCAGTTAGCTAGCTTGCTAGCTAATTTAGCTAGACAAGCTAACGGTAACTAGCAGCTACCTTGCCTAACGGTTTTTGCGTCCAACATTAGCTAGCTAGATTAACTAACTTGTAGTAACTGGTCAGAAGTTGAGTGAGGTCCTGGTTCCCAAAATTACACGTTATTGTTTTGACCGATAAAAACATGTATAGGAGAAATGTTCTAAAGATCGGCAACATTTTTATCTGTTCGACATGGGTGGATTTTTCTTTTGTAGATTTTTTTCTTTTGTTATTGCGACAAATGGAAACGAATAAATGGTGATTGCCGAAAATTAAGTCTATTTTTGCAACTATAAAACATTGTTTCTTTGCAGGACAGTGATTGTCCTGAATTGCTTCACTTTGCTTTTCTGTTTGGCTGGATGCAAGTTTTACCTTCCAATTATTTCAGATCTCCTGGACTGTGGCAATAAGTTGGCACGTGAGAATTATGAAAAATATTATTACATTCTTGCATTCTATCCATATTGGCTTTTGCAGGCTTCCTGAAACAGATCGGTGGGAGGGCATATAGGCTGTCGCCAATTTATTAATGCACAATTTGCCTAAATGGATAATGGAAACACTTTCGACACTAGGTTTTTAGCGAAAAAGCCTTTTTATTAGGTGTGACTTCATTACGTCCAGCTGTTTTTATCGTCACAAGTTAAATGGAAATGCATCATAGCATGCAATTGTCACATCTATTTTATATGCAAACTATCTAAATGTCAGCCAGAAATCACTAGACAAGTTAATGGAAACATAGCTAATCATTTAAAATGACCGGCAGAAAATTGTATCTTGTGCTTCGTTGGCATACTGCTATTTCTCTGCCCTGATATTACACACTTGAAACATCAGACTGCCTCTATACAAAAAAAGCCTACCAACTGGATGATACATCACTGGATTTTTCAAAATCACGGTGTCAAAATCTATTTCCATGTAACTTTGTGTGCGTGACCGTGTGGCGCAGTTGCACAGTCTTGACCAGAGATGTTTTGCCCAATCAGGATGAGGACGAGGTAGACCAGGGTACGATGGTGAGGGCAGGCACGAGCGACATGGGCACCGTCCGGGAGGCCGGTTCGTTAGCGGGCACGGTGAGGACCATGATCAAGCAGAGCGACATGGGCACCATGGAGTCTCAGCTGGGCACCATGGTGATCAACTCGGACGATGACGAGGACGCCGGCACCATGAAACGTAAGAGACAGAAGCCACACTGTCATAGTAGATTTATAATTCCCTGTTGGAGTTACATTGCAATACACTGTGAATGTCATGTCGAGCCATTACGTGATCACTGGAGACTTTTGGTGTGAAAAGAGAATGAGTTGTCAAAGCATTACACAAAACGATGTCACAAGGGCTCATGAATCTATCACGGTGTGTGTGGTGCATTCATCAACCCCAGCTTCAAATTGGCTCATTCAACCCCTCTCATCTCCCCTGCAACTTGTTGTAAATGACAATGTGTTCTCAGTGAAGTTACCTGGTTAAATAAGTTTAAGTAAAAAAAAAAAAAGGTTAAATACATTAACAAATAAAATGAAACAAAGTTAAGTTTCTATAATTAAAAGTGCTGTACGCAAGTCCAGATGCAATCTGTCCAAAAATTTTTTTGCTAGCATGCTTCCGTTTAAAACCACTGTCCTGCGTACAGTGAGATTGTGGTTACTTCATTGGACTTGGAGCCACACATTGAACCAGTGGGACAATGTGACGTTCCAGTGGCTGCCCATGGTGTATAGGACTGCCAATTTTAGCTGATTTCTCTCCGAGGCCCACTAGATGGCATGGATATTTCACTGGGGTGAAGGGGAGATTGTTTCCCTTGCCGCATAGTGCTGGTGGCTGCTCAGGCTAATACCATTTACATTTTAGTCATTTTAGGGATGGTCCAGAGAATAAAGAGTGTTTACTATAGGGCTGGGTGATATATTGAGTTAATTCAAATAAAAAAATACTGCCGACAAGCATTGAATCTCATTTTTAAATTACTTTAATTTTTATGAGCATTTATGTCCACTTTTTGGTCTCGTCTCCCTCGCTCCTTCTGACTGCTGTGCAGCACTTTCCCACTCACACACCAAGCTGAGAGATTGCTTCTTCCTCTCTGACAGCAAGCAGTTCCAACTCGCTATTTGTATTTTAAGTTTGGTCATGTGGACACCGAAACACAGTGAGACATAATTTTACTGTAATATAGGTGAATTTAACCTTTCTAACGAAAGCGCATACAATTGACCTCCGAGCAGATGCACTGTTGCACATGGCATTGCGTTACCACGTACCGCTAGCAGCATTTTTATGTGCTAGCTGTCTAGTCTGTGTTTTTATAAATGTGCAATGAACATAAAAATACTCATTTATAAGGAATTGGCAACTCATTCTCATTCTGAGAAATAAGGCTACATGCTCTTAAAACAGGTAGAGACAGACAGGGGGGTATGTTCATAACAGTTGAACTGTTCTACCTTGCTAGCTAATAGATAAACATTGGCTAGACTTGAAATATAAAGATTAGGCCTATCTGGCTACTACCTAGCACGTGGGCTTGTGCTTGAGAGATTGTTTATAAGACCTGTGTTAATTTTCTATAATGCATTCACCTGCTACAATAAGTTATTATTAGTGGATGTGCATGGTTCTGGTTACATTTGTAACCAAGGGGTCATTTTTCATAGACTTACAGTGGGGAAAAAAAGTATTTAGTCAGCCACCAATTGTGCAAGTTCTCCCACTTAAAAAGATGAGAGAGGCCTGTAATTTTCATCATAGGTACACGTCAACTATGACAGACAAAATGAGAAAAAAAATCCAGAAAAATCACATTGTAGGATTTTTAATGAATTTATTTGCAAATTATGGTGGAAAATAAGTATTTGGTCAATAACAAAAGTTTCTCAATACTTTGTTATATACCCTTTGTTGGCAATGACACAGGTCAAACGTTTTCTGTAAGTCTTCACAAGGTTTTCACACACTGTTGCTGGTATTTTGGCCCATACCTCCATGCAGATCTCCTCTAGAGCAGTGATGTTTTGGGGCTGTCGCTGGGCAACACAGACTTTCAACTCCCTCCAAAGATTTTCTATGGGGTTGAGATCTGGAGACTGGCTAGGCCACTCCAGGACCTTGAAATGCTTCTTACGAAGCCACTCCTTCGTTGCCCGGGCGGTGTGTTTGGGATCATTGTCATGCTGAAAGACCCAGCCACGTTTCATCTTCAATGCCCTTGCTGATGGAATGAGGTTTTCACTCAAAATCTCACGATACATGGCCCCATTCATTCTTTCCTTTACACGGATCAGTCATCCTGGTCCCTTTGAAGAAAAACAGCTCCAAAGCATGATGTTTCCACCCCCATGCTTCACAGTAGGTATGGTGTTCTTTGGATGCAACTCAGCATTCTTTGTCCTCCAAACACGACGAGTTGAGTTTTTACCAAAAAGTTATATTTTGGTTTCATCTGACATTCTCCCAATCCTCTTCTGGATCATCCAAATGCATTTTAGCAAACTTCAGATGGGCCTGGACATGTACTGGCTTAAGCAGGGGGACACGTCTGTTACTGCAGGATTTGAGTCCCTGGCGGCGTAGTGTGTTACTGATGGTAGGTTTTGTTACTTTGGTCCCAGCTCTCTGCAGGTCATTCACTAGGTCCCCCCGTGTGGTTCTGGGATTTTTGCTCACCATTCTTGTGATCATTTTGACCCCACGGGGTGAGATCTTGCGTGGAGCCCCAGATCGAGGGAGATTATCAGTGGTCTTGTATGTCTTCCATTTCCTAATAATTGCTCCCACAGTTGATTTCTTCAAACCAAGCTGCTTACCTATTGCAGATTCAGTCTTCCCAGCCTGGTGCAGGTCTACAATTTTGTTTCTGGTGTCCTTTGACAGCTCTTTGGTCTTGGCCATAGTGGAGTTTGGAGTGTGACTGTTTGAGGTTGTGGACAGGTGTCTTTTATACTGATAACAAGTTCAAACAGGTGCCATTAATACAGGTAACGAGTGGAGGACAGAGGAGCCTCTTAAAGAAAAGTTACAGGTCTGTGGGGAGCCAGAAATCTTGCTTGTTTGTAGGTGACCAAATACTTATTTTCCACCATAATTTGCAAATAAATTAATAAAAAATCCTACAATGTGATTTTCTGGATTTTTTTTCTCTCAATTTGTCTGTCATAGTTGACGTGTACCTATGATGAAAATTACAGGCCTCTGTCATCTTTTTAAGTGGGAGAACTTGCACAATTGGTGGCTGACTAAATACTTTTTTTCCCCACTGTAAGTCAGATCAGTGATTATTGCAAAATGGCAGGTTAAACTATTTTCATCAAATGTCATTTTTAGTGGGTGTTATGGTTGTGGAAGGCTTATTTAGCCTATGCATAATTTTGTAAGCACTGAATTAATAAAATTATTGCGGACTGTTCAAAATGCAGTGTATTGACCTTTAACTGTACAACAAAGTTTATTTAGAGAGAGAAAATTAAACATGTAGATGTAAATCGCGCGTAACTGTGAAGAAATCGAGATATGATTTTTAGGCCATATCACCCAGCCCTTGTTTACTAGAAGGTTTATGTAATCTGACATTTTGCCATTAGTTGTCATCTGAAGAATGCCAAGCAGGGGTGGAATTGGGGGTGAATGAATGGGAATGGAGTAGAGTTCCCAATGAAAACATCTCATGGGTTATAATATGATATGTGAAATACACTACCGGTCAAAAGTTTTAGGACACTTACTCATTCAAGGGTTTTTCTTTTATTTTGACTATTTTCTACATTGTAGAATAATAGTGAAGACATCAAAACTATGAAATAACACATATGGAATCATGTACTAACCAAAAACGTGTTAACCAAATCAAAATATATTTTATATTTGAGATTCTTCAAATAGCCACCCTTTGCCTTGATAACAGCTTTGCACACATTTGGCATTCTCTCAACCAGCTTTACCTGGAATGATTGTTCAACAGTCTTGAAGGAGTTTCCACATATGCGTAGCACTTGTTGGCTGCTTTTCCTTCACTCTGCAGTCCGACTCATCCCAAACCATCTCAATTTGGTTGAGGTCGGGGGATTGTGGAGGCCAGGTCATCTGATGCAGCACTCCATTACTCTCCTTCTTGGTAAAATAGCCCTTACACAGCCTGGAGGTGTGTTGGGTCATTGTCCTGTTGAAAAACAAATGATAGTCCCACTAAGCCCAAACCAGATGGGATGGCGTATCGCAGCAGAATGCTGTGGTAGCCATGCTGGTTAAGTGTGCCTTGAATTCTATTGTCACCAGCAAAGCACCCCCACACCATAACACCACCTCCTCCATGCTTTACGGTGGGAACTACACATGTGAAGATCATCCGTTCACCCACACCGCGTCTCACAAACGCATGTCGGTTGGAACCAAAAATCTCCAATTTGGACTCCAGACCAAAGGACACATTTCCACCGGACTAATGTCCATTGCTCATGTTTCTTGGCCCAAACAAGTCTCTTCTTCTTATTGGTGTCCTTTAGTAGTGGTTTCTTTTCAGCAATTCGACCATGAAGGCCTGATTCACACAGTCTCATCTGAACAGTTGATGTTGAGATGTGTCTGTTACTTGATCTCTGTGAAGCATTTACTTGGGCTGCAATTTCTGAGGCAGGTAACTCTGGAGCAAAATGGAGTCGTGTTCTGATTTGCCGAAGGGAGGGCGGGGAAGGGCCTTGTAGGCATCTCGAGAAGGCGAGTAGCAGTGATCTAGTGTTTTTCCTAAGCGAGTACTACAGTCAGTGTGTTTGATAGAACTTCGGTAGCGTTTTCCACAAATTTGCTTTGTTAAAATCCTCATCTACAATAAATGCGGCCTCAGGATATGTGGTTTCCATTTTTCATAGTCCAGTGTAGTTCCTTGAGAACCATTGTGGTATCTGCTTGAGGGGGAATATACACGGCTGTGACTATAACCAAAGAGAATTCTCTTGGGAGGTAAAACAGTCGGCATTTGATTGTGAGGTATTCTAGGTTGGGTGAACAAAAGGATTTGAGTTTCTGTATGTTATCACAATCACACCTTGAGTAGTTAATCATGAAGCATACACACCTGCCTTTCTTCTTCCCGGAGAGTTCTTTATTCCTGTCTGCGCGATGAACTGAGAACCCAGCTGGTTGTATGGATGGGGACAGTATATCCCGAGAGAGCCATGATTCCGTGAACCAGAGTATGTTACAGTCCCTGATGTCTCTCTGGAAGGAGATCCTCACCCTGAGCTTGTCTACTTTATTGTCCAGAGACTGAACATTAGCCAGTAATATACTCGGAAGCGGTGGATGGTGTGCCCGCCTCCTGAGTCGGACACTCGTATGTGAGTGGGTGTGTGTAGAATCTGTATAAATGCATTTGCATATTTTGTGTGAGTGAGCAGATGATGGAGTGAGTGTGTAGGGCCCTGTGAGTGTGCATAGAGAAAATAAAAGGTCAACAAAGATTAACTATTTTGTTAGCTATTTATCAGTATTATTGCTTGGAGATTTTCAAGAGCCTGTTGGTGCCAGACTTGATGCACCGGTACCACTTGCCGTGCGGAATCAGAGAGAATAGTCTATGGCTTAGGTGGTTGGAGTCTTTAACAATTTTCAGGACCTTCCTACCACAACGCCTGATATAGATGTCCTGGATGGCAGGGAGCTCGGCCTCAGTGATGTACTGGGCTGTCCGCACCACCCTCTGTAGCGCCATGAGATCGATGACGGTGCTATTGCCATACCAGGCAGTCATGCAGCCAGTGATGATGCTCTCAATGGTACAGATGTATAACTTTTTGAGGATTTGAGGACCCATGCCAAACTTTTTCAACCTCCTGAGGGGGGAAGAGGCGCTGTCGCGCCTTCTTCATGATTGTATGCGTGTGTTTGGACCATTTTAAGTCTTAAGTGATTTGTACACTGAGGAACTTGAAGCTGTCGACCTGATCCAGTTGCAGAGGGAGGTGTTCAGACTCAGTGTCCTAAGCTTGGTGACAAACTTGGAGGGGACAATGGTGTTGAACGTTGAGCTGTAGTCAATGAACAGCATTCTCACATAGGTATTCCTCTTATCTAGGTGGGTGAGCGCCACACTGCCAGGTCACTGACCTCCTCCCTGTAGGCTGACTCATCGTCACCAGTGATCAGGCCTACCACTGTCATGTCGTCAGCGAACTTGATGATGGTGGAGTCATGCTGTAGTCAATGAACAGCATTCTCACATAGGTATTCCTCTTATCTAGGTGGGTGAGGGCAGTGTGGAGAGCAATTTAGATTGCATCTTCTATGGATCTGTTGGGGCGGTATGCAAATTGGAGTGGGTCTAGGGTGGCTGGGATGGTGGAGTTAATGTGTGCCATAACCAGCCTCTCAAAGCCCTTCATGATTACAGAAGTGAGTGCTACAGGGTGGTAGTCATTGTGGCATGAAGCCTTAGAGTTCTTGGGGACAGGAATGATGGTGGTCATCTTAAAACATGTGGGGATTACAGACTGGAGAGGTTGAAAATTACTGTTCTGCGCATGCTCTGAGAACGTGCCCTGGAATTCCATCGGGCCCAGTGGCCTAGCGGGTGCTGATCTGATTACAGACCTTTCTCACGTCGGCCTCGGAGAGCGAGATCACCCAATCCTCTGGGTCGGTGACGGCCCTCACACCCGGCACAATGTTGTCAAAGCCTGCATAAAATGCATTGAGTTCGTCTGGTAGAGAGGCATCGTTGGGTAGATCACTGTTGGGTCTTCCTTTGTAATCCGTAATGGACTGTAGCCCCTGCCACATCCGGCGGGCGGCAGAGCCTGTGTAATATGATTCCACCTTATTCCTATATTGTCCTATTGCTCGTTTGATGCTCTGCAGAGGTCATAGCGGGACGTCTTGTACTTATTCCTGTCTTCGGCCGTAGCCTCAGTTGTCTATGATAGCTCTGTGTGTGGTAGCCCTGTCCTTTAGCGCCAACCATGGTGTTAATCCAGGGCTTTTATTTGGAGAAGCAGCTAACCCTCACCGTGAGGATAATGTCGCCGATACATTTTCTAATGAAGCCGGTGGCAGAGGTGGTTAGCTCGTCAATGTTATCGGCGGAGTCTCTAAACATATTCCAATCAGTGCTAGCAAAGCAGTCCTGTAGCATAACCTCTGATTCTGGTGACCATTTCTCAATGGAGCGGGTCACAGGTGCTTCCTGTTTTGAGTTTCTGTTTGTAAGCAGGAGTACAGAGTACTATAAATGCATTTATGGCCTATGCCTACATGCCCTGTAGAGCCCGACCGTTAAATCGGTTCACCAATATTGGCCTTTTAACAGCTATGTCGGTATCGGCCGATAACTCCACAGATAACGATATTCGATAAATAGGATGAAAAAAGGCAATCTCATGCTTATCTAAACACTTGCGGCCTTCTCATTATGTAATTGTTGTCACAATACAGTGCCTTCAGAAAGTATTCATACCCCTTGACTTATTCCACATTTTGTTGTTAGTCTGAATTTAAAATGTATTGAATTTTTTTTTCTTCTCATCCATCTACAAAATAATCCCATAATGACAAAGTGAAAACATGTTTTATACATTTGTGCACATTTTTTGAAAATGGAAGTACAGAAATATCTCAATACATAACTATTCACACCACGTTAGAATCACCTTTGGCAGTGATTACAGCTGTGAGTCTTTCTGGGTAAGTCTCTAATAGCTTTGCACACCTGGATTGTACAAAATGTGCATATTTATTAAAAAATATATATTTAAGCTCTGTCAAGTTGATTGTTGATCATTGCTAGACAGCCATTTGTCAAGATTTTCAAGCCGCTTTAAGTCAACTGTAACTAGACCACTCAAGAACATTCAATGTCATCTTGGTAAGAAACTCCACTTTATATTTGGCCTTTTTTTTAGGTTATTGTCCTGCTGAAAGGTGAATTTGTCTCCCAGTGTCTATTGGAAAGCAGAATGAACCAAGTTATAATTTTTTTTTCTATGATTTTGCCTGTACTTAGCACTATTCTGTTTATTTTAATCCTAAAAAAGACATAACATGATGCAGCAACCACCATGCTTGAAAATTTGAAGAGTTGTGTTGAATATGCCCTAAACATAGCAAATTGTATTCAGGACATAATTTCTTTGTCACATCTTTGGCAGTTTTACTTGAGTGCCTTATTGCAAACAGGATGCATTTTTTGGAATATTTTTGTTCTGTACATGCTTCATTCTTTTCACTCTGTCATTTAGGTTAGTATTGTGGAGTAACTACAATGTTGTTGATCCATCCTCAGTTTTTTCCTATCACAGCCATTACACTCTGTAACTGTTTTGAAGTCACCATTGGCCTCATGATGAAATCCCTGAGCTGTTTCCTTCCTCTCTGACAACTGAGTTAGGAAGGACACCTGTATCTTTGTAGTGACTAGGTATTGATACATCATCCAAAGTATAATAAATAACTTCACCATACTCAAAGGGATATTCAATGTATGCCTTTCTTTCCGAGTCATTGGAAAGTACAGAGATGAGGTAGTCATTCAAAAATCATGTTAAACACTATTGCACACAGAGTGAGTCCGTGTAACTTATTATGTGACTTGTTAAGCAAATGCTTAGTCCTGAACTTATTTAAGCATGCCGTAACAAAGGGGTTGAATACTTATTGACTCAAGACATTTCAGCTTTTCATTTTTTATTAATTGGTAAACATTTCTGAAGGCCAAGTATATGAAATCAACATTTGAAGCACAGTTATTGGACAATTGCTCTTTTGGGTGGCAAAATAATTCAGTGTGGAAAAATTACACTTTTTCATTTCCCCGCTGTAAAACAGTATATCGGTAAGTTCCCCCCCCCAAAAAAAAATCGGACCCCCAAAAAACATATAGATCGGGCTCTAATGCCCTGTACTGATGGCCTTTAGAGTAGCAGCCTGGTATCTCTGGTTTCAGCTAAGATACCTCTGTGTCTGATCAATTAAAGCGATCAATCCACCAATCCTGGGCACATTCTCCTTCTCTTCCCTAATGGAAAAGGATCCAGTTAGTATAGATTCCTGCTCAGAGCTGTTAATACGACGTTAACAAATGAACGTGTAGAAATAACCTTTACCCTCCTAAATGGAATTCCCTCTCCAATCCGAATCGCTTACCCAGAGTAAGTCTTTGGTCTTGGAGTCTGCTGCCCAGAATAAGTTAGGCATATTGATTTTCCGTAATGGGGCTGTAGGAATGAGAAGGCTATTTCTTTACACCATCAGGGTCCTGCGATGGACGCACAAGCTAGAAATTAAGCCGCTAACAAATTGAAATGATCCTCACTCCAAATTGATTCGAAATCACTAGTCAAATATGAAGAATTGTTTGAATAACTACTTTCTCCCACTCCTTAATTACGATCAAACATTTTGGTCAGTTGAATAAATTACTTTTGAATTGCTTCATCTCAGAACTTTTTAAGTTTCCAATACTTTTTTAAGTGGTGATTGTACTGAAATTCTTCAGTGACACATTTTAATATATTTGGCAATAATTACTGATGAATACATGAATCCAAAATGACACTTCAGTATGTTTCTTCTCAAGTAGTGATATGTGCGCGCATGTAGGAGAGGATTTCTGTGCATGGAGAACAATAGTAGAGTTTGCTTAGATGCTGGAATCTGAACAGTCTGTGTCATTCTCACCACTCATCTGCTCTCCCCCACAATGCTCAGCAGAAGACCCTCCTGATGCTATGTGGCCAGGAATCAAATCCCAGGGATGAGTTCTCCCTGTTATCTCATGATGGGTTAAATAATTGATATTTTGCCCAGTGAAGATGTCCCACTGCTGGGCTTTAGTGGTTCCTTGGTATCTACTTCTGCATTAAGTCAACTCTGGGGTGGTCTCTCAACTTGGTTGGGCTAGTGTGCTTTGTGGACTCATCTGACTTTTTTTTATTCATGGCAGGAGTTTTCCTTGTTTGATTTTGGGTCAAATTTATGCAGTGGTTCACAGTCCGGTGTAATCTAGTGTCCTTCATGTTATTTCAGTAAAGGTACAATGTGTTTAAGTGTCAGTTGGGAAAGGCACATATTTCATGTTACTGTAAGGAACACCAGAGTAAGCTGCATCAGTCCAGGTAGACTAGTTCCTCCCCATTTTGTTAACCAAATGTTATTCTGTTTTGTGCCTCCTGAACACGAGTATGTAAAGCTTTTACTGAGGTTTGAGAGGAATGCTGCATGGAGAGTATAGCAAAGATGTTGGGGTGGATGTCATTGTAATGTAGCATACAGTACAACCCTGTCAAACTATCCACAGGGACACAGTTTGGTAGGGTATGGAATCTTTTCTGACCAATGGTAGTTTCTTCAAACTGGATGTAATGTGCTGGGTTGTGTTCAGTAGGCAAGAAAAGGAAGAAAACGCAGTGAGAAAACGGCCCAAAACGGGAAGGGACTATCTAAACCTGTCCAATAAATGCTTTGTTTTAGTTTTCTGTTGCAAAACGTTTCGCTACGGTGGGGAGCTTGTCTCTTCTTCCTGTACTAATTGACCAAATCTGCAATTGTAAGAGACCAGGGAGACCGTATTGAAATGGCTGAATTAATGATACGCCAAGGGTCTCTGCCAGTAGGAGTGGGGTACAGGCAGCATATGGCCATATAGGCAGAGACCATTTCTTAACACTAGGCATAGCATTTAATTAAAGGTATTTTTCTTCTGTAAGCTGGTTAGCGTGATTGTAGTCCTGGGGGTTTTGATGGTCACTATAATGATTCCTATAGGAGTGAGTAACACCTTCTTACTCAATACATTTCTCTCTTCAAAATGTCTCTGATCACCAATATCTTCCCTTTCATCAATGCAGGTCCATGGGGATTCAAACCATTTGAATGCAAATATTATGTTTGCTTGCATGAATACGGCCCTTTATATCCATAGAATGCTCCCTTATGAAACTGTATGAAATATGAAAGTGAACGGTCTTCTTGAATGTTGGAGGCACTGACACCCCTGTTGTTTTGGTGCATGTCTAGGGAGAGATGAGACCATGCAGCCCGCCAAGCCGTCCTTCCTGGAGTACTTTGAGCAGAAAGAGAAGGAGGCCAACTGTCACAACGACAGCGGAGGAGACGCAGGACACAACCCTGACAACCGCAAACTGCCTGCGGAGGGGGATCTAGAGGTGGTAAGTACAGTGCCTTGCAAAAGTATTCATCCCCCTAATAATCCACGACAGCCATTTACGTTTCTCCTATTTTTTGTTGCATTACAACCTGTAATTTAAATGGATTTGGATTTGGATTTCATGTAATGGACATACACAAAATAGTCCAAATTGGTGAAGTGAAATTAAAAAAATAGTTGTGAATAGTTGTGCACGCTCAAGTTTTCGGGTTTTTTGTCTTATTTCTTTTTTGTTTCACAATAAAACATATTTTGCATCTTCAAAGTGGTAGGCAAGTTGTGTAAATCAAATGATACAACCCCCCCCAAAAAATCAATTTAAAATTCCAGGTTGTAAGGCAACAAAATAGGAAAAATGCCGAGGGGGGTGAATACTTTCGCAAGCCACTGTAAAGTGACATGATGCCGATGCCTCTAGTAAGCCGTTCTTCTACTTCCTATAGAACCTTCGTTGTTTTAACCTACACGGCTCAGTACCTCAAAATTAACTACAACGTGATGGAATCATGCAAGTTATGACGTGCTTAACGGACAACTAAGTATTATTGACATTTCTTCCAATTAACTAAATCACCTGATGAGCAAGAATTAGATTTCACCCCAATGAATTAGAATTAACCCTATGGGCCGGTTTCTCAGACACAGATTAAGCCAACGCTATTCCTGGACTGAAAAACATGCTTAACTGAGAATTTCCTTTGCTTTTTAGTCCAGTACTAGGCTTAATCTGTCTGGGAAACTGCCCTATGAGTTTACTTAGTGAATCCCATGACTTAAACCCAGCATATAAAGTACAATGTTGAGCATCAACAGATGGATTAAGCCTACACCAAGGATTTAGTGCAGGGTAAGTCTTATTTTTTACCACTTCATCCCTGGCCTACACATTCTGTTTACTTTAAGAGCGCTGGCCACACAGATGAGGGGTAAAGATGAGACCTGTTGTGGCATTCTTGAGCCAGCAGTTTTGCTCTCTTGCCGTGTCACGCTAGTCGTATTTGTTGTTCTCGTTTTTGTTACGTTAAAATAGACTGACAGTCGACCGTCGAGTGACTCCAGAAGTCACTTACACTGGCAGCACAAGCAGCGGCAATATCTTCAAACATCACATTTGTCTCAAAACCCAACAGAATTGGGTCAGTAGCTGCAAAGTAGACTTGGAGATGAGGATGCGATATGCTGCATGTTGGTTAGATCAGTTCAGCTTGGTCGTTGTTTGAAGTGTCATGATGACTGGGGCCTGCACTATAGACTACATGAAGCTAGCCTAATTGGCGCTGGATCTAAATATAGACCTGTCATACAAAATAGTTTTGCCTGTATTGCTTTGATTTTGTTTGCGTGGCTTCAATACGTTAATGTCTGGCGGTTAAGACGGCTGTAAGACATCACAGTGGACTTTGGTGTGTTCAACATTGCATGAGGGAGACAGAGTATGTAGATTAGATTACTTTTAAGGGACCATGTGATTCAAGAGGGCTTTTGCAATAAAAATTCAGGCAAGGTAACGTGTAGGCCTAAATCAACCCTCTCTTTTGAGACCACCGGCCTTTTAACATATTTGTTGCAGGCCTGCTATACCTCATTCAACTAGTTCCCGAAAAAAATCAAGCCATTGACTAGTTGAATCTGATGTGCTAGCTCAGTGCTACAACAAATAAATAAATCATATCTCTATTTCTTTTTTCAAACTTATAGACGATTCACAAACTATATCTCGATAAAAAAAGAAGTTCTCTAAATAAGCTTTGTTGTACAATTAAAGGTCAAATGCACTGCATTTCAAACAGTCAGCAATAATCTATAAATATAAGCCTTCCACAACCATAAAACTCACTAATAATTTAATTATTGTATCAAAGTAGTTTAACCTGCTTTTTTGCAATAATCACATCTGGCTTTCAAGTCTGTCTATGAAAATGCCCTTTTTGTTACACGTGCTAGTGAGTAGCCAGCTGATCTTTATATTTAAAGTTTTGCCAACTTGGATCTATTTGCTAGCTAACATGGCAGAAAGGTTGAATTGTTATGAACACACCCTTCTATCTAACTGTTTGAACAGCATGCTAGCCTGTCCACTTTGTTCAGATGTTGAAATCAAGTAGCCTACCTTATTTCTCAGAATGAGAACGAGTTGTCATTTAGCAGATGCTCTTATTCAGAGCGACTTACAGTTAGTGCATTCATCTTAAAATAGCTAGGTGGGACAACCACATATCACAGGCATAGTAAGTACCCTTCTCTTCAATAAAGTAGTTATTAGCAATGTCATTTTCAAAGGGCTTATTGTGGACCTAAGCTTGTCGCCTGCCTTCCTGCCTTCGGGACAACAACTCCCATTGTTAGGGCGAGACACAAGCATCTCGTCATTATATACAGATCTCTGGTGTAAATGGGAGGGTGCACACAGCACAGAAGGCGCGAAGGAGACGAGACCAAAAAGACAACATGAGAACAAGCGGACATAAACTCTCATTTTTAAAAAAATACATATTTTACAGTGACTTCGGAAATTATTCAGACCCCTTGAATTGATTAAAAAAAATAAAAAATTCCCCTCATCAGTCTACACACAATTCCCCATAATGACGAAGCAAAAACAGGATTTTAGAAATGTATTATTAAAATAAAAACAGAAATATCACATTTATTTAGACCCTTTACTCAGTACTTTGTTGAAGCACCTTTGGCAGTGATTACAGCCTAGAGTCTTCTTGGGTATGACGCTACAAGCTTGCCACACCTGTATTTGGGGAGTTTCTCCTATTCTTCTCTGCAGATCCTCTCAAGCTCTGTCAGGTTGGATGGGGAGCATTGCTACACAGATATTTTCAGGTCTCTTCAGAGATGTTCGATAGGATTCAAGTCCAGGCTCTGGCTGGGCCACTCAAGGACATTCAGACATTTGTCCTGAAACCACTCCTGCGTAGTCTTGGCTGTGTGCTTAGGGTCGTTGTCCTATTGGAAGGGGAACCTTCGTCCCAGTCTGAGGTCCAGAGTGCTCTGAAGCAGGTTTGTATCAAGGATCTCCCTGTACTTTGCTCCATTCATCTTTACCTCGATCCTGACTAGTCTCCCAGTCCCTGCTGCTGAAATACATTCCCACAGCAT